AACAAGAGTAAGTCATGGATTGATGGAAATGTCAACTTTTTATTAGAAGATTACTACATCTGATTAAAGAGGAAATTCGACTGAAGAAAGGGAAGCGAACGAGGAAAAAATGAAGAAATGACCGATAGGGGATGAAAAAGAATATGTCAAGTGAGGGTTGAACTGACAGATAGCCTGGTTTAAGAAGAGGAAACAGACAAAAAATTGCTAAAGGAATGAAAATACACAAAAAGTTTCACTTATTTAGTGCATCAATTTCACCTATTAATTTTGATTACTTTGCTTGATTAGATTCTATTTTTCAATCACTTCACCTTATTCTACAACTTAGTTGTTTGAAGAGGCTTCTATTAAAGTTGTTTATCAGTGTTTTTTCATGGTAAACAATGTTCTCAGGAAAGCTTCGTGATTGAGAACTATCCCTACTCCTACAGTTTTTTGATACTTTTCATTTTTCACTACCATAAATAATTCAATGCAACTTCCTTGCGTTTTGAAAAAAGAATTTCACAAAATCCCGGAAACTATCCTGAATCAGTCCATAGCTTTTCTTCTGATTTTTTTGGAATTTAAAAAGTTTTTTCCTCGGTAGAATTTCATACCTCAGCGATAAGTCGCATGTTGAACGCCGGTGTTTCATCCATTCGTACGCCCCGACCGGAAGCGATCAGACTGCTCAGCTGAAAGTTTGCACGTTTTTTCGCTGCACGCACTCAGTGACGTTCTGTTAACTTTTTGGAAAATTGCCAAGAAATACAACGAAGGAACTCTGACCATCAATCGATAACAGTTCAATTGCTTACAAGAACATTTCTTAAACAATTTTTCTACTAAAGGAAGTCAGTGGTCCTAGACTTTTTTGCACCCCTTCATTAGTATTAATGAGCTGGAGGAGAGCTTTACCCTGTCCACTTCTGGTCTACCTATCTGCTTAAATGTGGTACTCTACTAGTACATCCCAAGGATAGGAGTTCATGCTCGCCTCGGGACGTGTTTAGGCATATGGTACTGTACAGGTAGTATTTCCCAGTACCTGTGTAAGCGTATCTTCGTCGAAAGCGTCTTTCAGTAGTCCTTCACTGTCTTCAGATTCTTCCGTGTGCTCAGACATCTCCTAAAAAGTTACAAAAATTTCCTAAAATTCAAAAGTAACAGTTGATCAATCGATAACGGGCAGCATAGAAAATGCGAGAATCAAAGTCCGAGTGCAGAAGTTTCCAAAGAAAATAACCAGAGCGGTATACCGGAAACCGTGGAATAGACCCTGTATGATGGCGTATTAATTTTGCGATTTCAAAAAATTATACGATCAGACAGGTGAAAATGAAGAGGTGGGGTATTGTAGCGGATATCGCTTGACCCTGCAGAGACCCAGATCGGGGAAAACGAGTTGATTAGAGAGGTTGCAAATGAGGTGGCCGACCGGTGTAGGAGATAGTCGTTGTTGGCGGTGGCGGCGGCAACGGATGGCAGGCGTTGCGACGCGGCGCGCAACGCGGCCCGCCATCGATGCGGAAGCCGCCGCCACGGAATGCCGTAGCCGGCTGGCTAGAGCGGGCGCCCCTTCACACCGGGTCCCTGCCGCCACCGCCGCCGCGACCTGCCAACCAGCCACCGCCAGCGCTCTTCCACCTCAAACAAGCGAGAGGAACGCGTTGTTGAGCCCAGACGGGGTCTGAGTTACACGGGGAAGCGAGGGTAAACAAAAGTCATAGAGAGATGGAAAGATGGCAGATATATGTATACAAGTATACAAGTAGGAGTTTCATGCTGCATTGCAAACAGGGCACGTAGTATTCCCTTTCAACCAAGACATTCGGAGAGGGGAGGAGGAGGAGGGGGGGTTGTATTCAGCAAAAACTTTCCCCAACGGCAGTCGTGCCCTTTTTACAAGACCGGGTACGAGAGTCAAACGAACGACTCTGAATCAGTCCTCTAGAAACAGCAGTGATCTTCTGAGGTGAAAGCCTCCCGAGGCTCAACAAACTTCTCCTGATCCAGGGTATGGGCCAGCAGTCTCTCTGAGCCAATACTCACCTTCAACAGAGTCTAGTAAACCGAAATTTACCGCTTCAGCCGAATTTCTGTTTAAATTGACGGAGGCGGTGTAGTAGAAAGTGTTGCCACCTGTCAGATGAGTCATTGGTAAGTTGAAATCTGGGACCAGGTTTTCACCTAGGTCAACCTAGCATGCCGCCTCTGGTGCAGGATCCAGTCGAGCATGGGTGCCCCTGAAAAGAGAGCATCCTCAACTGGATTGGTTGATATTAATTGATAGTTGATATTCACCAGAATGCTTCTGCGATGTTAACTGAATATCGGATGTGCGGCACATCACAACAAGGAAATGCCTTATTCACAGAGTGTTTTGAGTAATGAAGCCCTGTCAGTTTGAGCGCACCGCACGAGAGTGCACGAGAGAGGATGGGTGTAAGAAGTTTGGCAATGGTCTAAATTAGCTACGCAATTTGAGTGCTGCCTACAGAGCACAGCTTCGTTAGGAGAATTCCATCGGGGGTCGTACTTGGGTGTGGGAGCGGGAAAGGAGAATATATTTTCTTGCGAGAAATTTCTTCCGAGCTATGAGAAAAACTGTTCCGCTAGTTGATCTTCCGCGGTGGCATGTGCGCTACGCAACGCTTCGTTTTGCGACGCAGAAAGAGGACTTCATGGTCTTGTTTGCTGTGAACGCTGGAGCGTTCAGGGCGCTGGGTTCCACCAGGGCCTGTCAGATCCCTTAGTCGAAGTCTGGCTGACGCCGCTCCATACCCAGCCCCCTGAGAAATCCCAGCTTGCGCAGGAACAAGACTGTATAAACAATTCCAGCTTCTCTCTTCATAAAACCTCGGCATTATTGTGAACTTTTAAGTTGTAATTTGTTCTGCCAAAGAGGTTGGTAGGTGGAAGACTTTATTATAAATGGCCTGACGTTTCGACAGGATCGTCGTCCTCAGAGGCCAGTCCACTAACAACTGACAGCGAGTGGCATCGTTCCGCTCATGTGGTGGTGGACTGGCCTCTGAGGACGACGATCCTGTCGAAACGTCAGGCCATAAGTTCTTCCACCTACCAACCTCTTTGGCAGAACAAATTACAACTTTAAACTGTGTAAACGCTCCTTCTGCTGCCTGATCAGGAGGAGCCTCCTCCGTATGACCCGGCGCCATTTTTTTGGGGAGGCTTGTGAAATTTGTAGAAACACTGGAGGAGACATGGAGAGGGCGGGAGTTGGAGGATTATGGACCGACGGTCGGTGGTCGTGAGTGAGGGTAGTACTGTAAGCTATCCAACATTGTCATTATACCCATCC